TCGGGACGTTTACAAAATGTTTCTGTCTCAACCCGCAGGACGTCTCGTCTCTGAGGTTCTGACCCGGGTTAAGGAGCCGAGTCCTCCAGAAGTTTACATCGTTACCCCGTTTCCTGGAGGCTCCTGGGTTTGGGCGTGGACAGGCGCAGAATGTTTTGGTACTGAGACGTCTTGGAGGAAGGATGTTGGGTCTTCCTGAAGAAGACCTCCTCCTCCTCCTTCCTGCAGGAAAATGGAAGCTGTTACACCGTTTGAGACAAAAGACCGTCCTGAGCCAGGAGGAAGAGGAGAAGACAATCAGTCGTTAGATGAAAGATGAAGGTTTGAGGTTAAACGTTTACATTTAGAGCAGAAACAGGAAGTGCAATTCTTCTTTTCAGCATTCAACTTGAAAAAAAACAAAGAAACTTTCAGAGTAAAACGATTTGATCGAACCCTTTTATCATTTTTGGGGAACAATCAGCCACACGTTTATTTTAGTCCGTGTTTTTAATTTATTCATTTTACGCTGATAAAATACACCAAAACTAAACGGTTTAATCCCAATTTATATCGTAAACAAGCCATTCCAATCATTAATGTTTTGTTTCCTTTTTATCTTTATCCCTATACTTACAATTTTAATATTAGCCCACTGGGTGCTGCGCTGCCTTTATAAAAAATTAGACAAAAGTTCGAGTCAGTCTAGAAGAAGTGCCAATTCCCGGCCAGACGTCTCGTCTCGTGGCTTGTCGGACTAAATTGTTTTATTTTGGATGCAAGGAGCACTCACTTGTACTGTGCGCAAGTAAACTTTATTCTGAAAAGGCTGTTTCGCATGCATGCAGGCTGCAGCAGGGGATGCTCCGCGGCTAACTGACGTTTGTTTCGCCCAAAGCAGGACGACATGGAGGGTCCACGTTGTCAGCAGAAGCGAAAAACTAATTAGAAACCAGCTGTGGCCTTGGGCAGTTATGAAAATGGATGATTTAGCTCATGTTCTAGTTTTTTAGCTAATGATTCGCTTCTTTTAGCTGGCCTTTTAATTATTTTAGCCTCGAGTCTGTGTTTAGCTTTCTTTTTTATCTTTTGGCTAGAACTTTGCTTCTTTTGATGTTCAGCTCGTTTTTTCTTCTTGACGTAGCGTTTAGCTTCAACTTAGCTTTCAGCTAGTGTTCTGATTGTAGCTCCAACACTTCATTTTCAACTTCAGCAGCTGATTTCAGCCATCATTTAGCTGTCGGTGTTCTGTGTCTTCAGCGGTGTTGACGTTGTGATTTTAAAGCTAACTGAACTGGAAACATTTTGCAGATTATAAATCAGATTTTCAGCAGATTAGAGGTCTTCGGACGTCGCCTCATGCTCCAGTGAATTATTCTCTCGCAGCGAGCGCCGCTCTGCTCTGAATCAGCTAAACAAACTCTCTGATTGAGGCCGACAGCTCTCAGATCTCCATCAGACGCAGCTGGCTTCAGGCCTGAACGTCACTTTGCAGCTTCTTAAATCGATTTCCTGTCGGAGTCACGCAAACCCGATGATGGAGCGAACCATAAAACCTCCTGTGGTCCATCTAGAAACTCAAACTGCTCTCCTCTTCAGGGGGTCGTTAGTAATGCTGCTGATACTTTTACCTCCACTCAGGTACTTTTACCTCCACTCCTCTCCTGCTGAGAAGTCTCTTTTGTGTCGGGACAGGTGTTGGATTCTTGGACTTGGACCGGCTCCGAGCGCTGAACAGGAGACGGGCCAGATCGGCTCCTGGTTGCCCCAACTCAGCCTTTCACTGATCAATAAATAAAAAGGTCCGAACAAAGTTTAAAGAAACCGATTTAAAAATGAAACGCTTCATAATACGACCCAGGACTTAAACTGCTACAGTACTTGGTAGGTGCCTGGTAAAGTACCTAATAGAGTACCTGGTACAGTACTTGGTAGTTAGTTACCTGGTAAAGTACGGTACAGTACCTGATAGGTACCTGGTACAGTACCTGGAACAGAACCTGGTAGGTTCCTGGAATAGAACCTGGTGGGTACTTGGAACAATACCTGATAAAGTACCTCGTACAATACCTGGTAGTTACCTGGTAAAGTACTTGGTACAGTACCTGGTAGTTAAAAGCACTTGGAAGGTACCTGGTACAGTACCTGATCTAGTACAGTACCTGGTACAGAACCTGGTAAGTATTTAATACAGTACCTGATCTAGTACAGTACCTGGTACAGAACCTGGTACGTATTTAATACAATACCTAGTACAGTGGTACAGAACCTGCTACAGTACAGTACCTGGTACAGTACCTGATCTAGTACAGTACCTGGTACAGAACCTGGTACAGTGGTACAGAACCTGGTACAGTACCTGGTACAGTACAGTACATGGTAGTTACCTGGTACAGTACCTGGTATGTACAGGTACAGGATTGACTTGTTACCTTGTACTCACAGGGGAGGTTCTGGTACATACTGGATAGGTACCTGATAAGTACCAGGTGCAGGATTCGTACAAAGTAAGTACCCGGTAAGTGCCCGATTACCCAAATGTTACATATCTGGTACTTACCAGACATCTACCCGAACCATCTTTGGTACAAACATGGTACTTACCAGGTATGTACCAGATAAGCACCAGTACCAGTTTCATTCTTGGTACTTAGCTGGTACATAATTTGAAATTACCTGGTACGAACCGAAGACGTAGTTGGTACATTCTTGTTCCAAATATTACAAATCTGGTACAAAAACAGTAAAATAACAGACTCTTAACTGGTACAAACCAGTTACTTGGAACGCAACTGGTACATTAGCTGGTACAAGCCGATAACGTACTCGGTATCTTGTTGGTACATACTTTTTAATTGGTCGTTACTTACTGGTTTTATACTATATGTCCCTAATATGTACTTGGAATGTGCCATGTAAGTACTTAGCACTTAGCTGCTAAGAACCAGATACACAGTTTAAACCTGTTTCAGGTGAGTACTGGGTACTTCTCGGGTACCTGTGGGGACTGTGCTGTTATGAACTGACTCATTACTCTGAACTTACTGGGTACGTACTGAACAAGTACCAGGTACATTCTGGGATTTTTCATGAACTGATTCCAAACACGACTTTAAATACATTTTTATTTGATTTTTGATTCACAAATACCCAGAAAATATCTGATTTTTATATTTTTATCTCTGGAGAAGTAAATAATATTCTGTGAGAAAACATCGTCTTTTCAAACAGCCGAAGAGGAACAAGTTAGTTCTAAAAAAAAAAAAAAACCCTGAACATTTTGAGTATTTTTCACCTGATTTAAGAAGCTACGAGGTACCAGAATAAAATCTGCAGATCTGCTCACCAAGGAGTCGTGGCCCAAACGCTTTTAGAGGTTTTATGCTGCGCCAGCGCCAAGATTCTGAAAAACATCACACAGCAGCCGTGAAACATCTGAGGCTTTGGGGATTTGTTTCTGACGAGGAACTGGACTTTCTTCAAACAAGATGCTTTTAATGGAAACCTTTAAACTGAAGACAGTTCTTAATGTATCTGCTGAAACTTTAATAAATGCATTTATCAAAGTTTCAGCAGATACATTAGGAACTGTTTTAAATAGTTTAAAGGTAAATGGCAGAAGGTAAAAATCTTTCAAACTTGACTTTAAGGCGTCACCTTAAAGTCAAGTTTGAAAGATTTTTACCTTCTTATACAACTTTTACATTTGACAGCTTTTGCTTCATTTAGCTCCTAGCTAGCCTTTAGCTTCTTGTAGCCTCTTGGTAGCCTTTTGCTTCTTTTAGCCTCTCGGTAGCCTTTTGCCTCTTTTAGCCTCTCCGTAGCCTTTTGCCTCTTTT